AAGCAAGAAACCAAGTAATTTAATTTTTGGATATCTGGTATGTTTTGAGTGTGTACGGAGGCTTCGAAACTACTCCAGAATTCTCTCCATGTTTTAGGGTCTCCACTAAACGTTGGTAACGACAATTGTGGTAAATTTACTGGACGACATTCAGTTAAGCTAGGTTCTTTAATTTGTGCTAGACGTTTAAGGGCTAACTCTGTATCATCTTTGTACATAGATAAGGTTATAATGGTATCCGTACCTATGTTAATTAATTTTAAAATACCTCTATCGTCGTTTGCCATTTGTTCGTATTTTTCTTCTTCTTTTTTCTTTTGCGACATTGGGGCTAGTTGAATGTGTTCCAACCATTTGTCGTTGATCTTCTCAAGAGTGCCAACGTATTTTTCGAGGCGCATCAACTTTTCTTTGATGATCCTTGCCCTTGCTTCGCATTGCTGGCACAGTACTTCTACTGTCGCTTTTTGGTCTAACGGAGTTAGATCCATTTGTTGTATTTCATCGAGGAGTCCCTCGAGATTCGCTTTTACTGGTGTAGCTTGAACAATTATACTGGCCGACATACCTTACCTCACCTCGGGCACCAAAATTATTCTTTGTCGTGAAACCTCAAACTTGGGTAATTAAACCTTTATTTAACATGAAGCAATAATAGCGCTTTATACATATTGTACGGATGCTACACCGTTTAACAAACGCGTAAACTATAAAAAATGCAATAATATAAAAATGGTGAAATAACACAAAATTATAAAGTATTAGACGCATCCCAATACCACCCAAAACATAAAGCAAATGATGGTTATAGAAGGATTGGTTGGGTTATATATAAGACTGATTTAACGAATGGAGATTAGATGGGAGGATTTCTCATGGATGAACAAAGAAGATTGTTAACAGGATTAGTTTATATACAGAACTGAACTGACCAGATATTCGGCAGAGGAGGACATTTAAGTGATATGAAACAAAGACTGCTAATAAAGGGTTTTGCTAACGAAGGGTTTGCTAACAAAGGGTTTTTGTTGTGCGAGGAAAAGGAATTAGATAAGAGGAATTTGTTAGTTTTGGATATAATAATTTAAATATTTCGTCTTTCACGACATCTTCTAGTGATATTGTTATATCAGCTGCGAAGTGACATGAATTAAAAAAAAAATGCCTTCTAGTGATATTGTTATGTTTGCAGAGAAATGGTATGAGTTAATGAATTAATCAAAATGTCTTCTAGTGATATTGTTATGTTTGCAGAGAAATGGTATGAGTTAATGAATTAATCAAAATGTCTTCTAGTGATATTGTTATATTTGCAGAGAAATGGTATGAGTTAATGAATTAATCAAAATGTCTTCTAGTGATATTGTTATACTTGCAGAGAAATGGTATGAGTTAATGAATTAATCAAAATGTCTTCTAGTGATATTGTTATATTTGCAGAGAAATGGTATGAGTTAATGAAATAATCAAAATGCCTTCTAGTGATATTGTTATATTTGCAGAGAAATGGTATGAGTTAATGAATTAATCAAAATGTCTTCTAGTGATATTGTTATATTTGCAGAGAAATGGTATGAGTTAATGAATTAATCAAAATGTCTTCTAGTGATATTGTTAAATCTGTAGAGAAATGGTATGAGTTAATGAATAAAAAATGCCTTCTAGTGATATTGTTATATCACCAGCGAAGTGACATGAAATAAAAAAAAAATGTCTTCTAGTGATATTGTTTAATCTGTAGAGAATCAAAATATCTTCTAGTGATATTGTTATATTTGCAGAGAAATGGTATGAGTTAATGAATTAATCAAAATGTCTTCTAGTGATATTGTTATATTTGCAGAGAAATGGCGTGAATTAATCAAAATGTCTTCTAGTGATATTGTTAAATCTGAAGAGAAATGGTATGAGTTAATGATTTAATCAAAATGTCTTCTAGTGATATTGTTATATCAGTAGAGAAGTGGCATGAATTGATCGAAATGCCTTCTAGTGATATTGTTATATCAGCAGCGAAGTGACATGAAATAAAAAAAATGTCTTCTAGTGATATTGTTATATCTGTAGAGAAATGGTATGAGTTAATGAATTAATCAAAATGTCTTCTAGTGATATTGTTATATCAGCAGCGAAGTGACATGAAATAAAAAAAAAATGTCTTCTAGTGATATTGTTTAATCTGTAGAGAATCAAAATATCTTCTAGTGATATTGTTATGTTTGCAGAGAAATGGTATGAGTTAATGAATTAATCAAAATGTCTTCTAGTGATATTGTTATATCAGCAGCGAAGTGACATGAATTAAAAAAAAATGCCTTCTAGTGATATTGTTATATTTGCAGAGAAATGGTATGAGTTAATGAATTAATCAAAATGTCTTCTAGTGATATTGTTATATTTGCAGAGAAATGGTATGAGTTAATGAATTAATCAAAATGTCTTCTAGTGATATTGTTATATTTGCAGAGAAATGGTATGAGTTAATGTATTAATCAAAATGTCTTCTAGTGATATTGTTATATTTGCAGAGAAATGGTATGAGTAAATGAATTAATCAAAATGTCTTCTAGTGATATTGTTATATCAGCAGCGAAGTGACATGAAATAAAAAAAATGTCTTCTAGTGATATTGTTTAATCTGTAGAGAAATGGTATGAGTTAATGAATTAATCAAAATGTCTTCTAGTGATATTGTTATATCAGTAGAGAAGTGGCATGAATTGATCGAAATGCCTTCTAGTGATATTGTTATATCAGCAGCGAAGTGACATGAATTAAAAAAAAATGCCTTCTAGTGATATTGTTATATTTGCAGAGAAATGGTATGAGTTAATGAATTAATCAAAATGTCTTCTAGTGATATTGTTATATTTGCAGAGAAATGGTATGAGTTAATGAAATAATCAAAATGCCTTCTAGTGATATTGTTATATCAGCAGCGAAGTGACATGAATTAAAAAAAAAATGCCTTCTAGTGATATTGTTATGTTTGCAGAGAAATGGTATGAGTTAATGAATTAATCAAAATGTCTTCTAGTGATATTGTTATGTTTGCAGAGAAATGGTATGAGTTAATGAATTAATCAAAACGTCTTCTAGTGATATTGTTATATTTGCAGAGAAATGGTATGAGTTAATGAATTAATCAAAATGTCTTCTAGTGATATTGTTATATCAGCTGCGAAGTGACATGAATTAAAAAAAAATGCCTTCTAGTGATATTGTTATGTTTGCAGAGAAATGGTATGAGTTAATGAATTAATCAAAACGTCTTCTAGTGATATTGTTATATTTGCAGAGAAATGGTATGAGTTAATGAAATAATCTTAATGTCTTCTAGTGATATTGTTATATTTGCAGAGAAATGGTATGAGTTAATGAATTAATCAAAATGTCTTCTAGTGATATTGTTATATTTGCAGAGAAATGGTATGAGTTAATGAATTAATCAAAATGTCTTCTAGTGATATTGTTATATTTGCAGAGAAATGGTATGAGTTAATGAAATAATCAATATGCCTTCTAGTGATATTGTTATATTTGCAGTGAAATGGTGTGAGTTAATGAATTAATCAAAATGTCTTCTAGTGATATTGTTATATTTGCAGAGAAATGGTATGAGTTAATGAATTAATCAAAATGTCTTCTAGTGATATTGTTATATTTGCAGAGAAATGGTATGAGTTAATGAATTAATCAAAATGTCTTCTAGTGATATTGTTATATTTGCAGAGAAATGGTATGAGTTAATGAATTAATCAAAATGTCTTCTAGTGATATTGTTATATCAGTAGAGAAGTGGCATGAATTAATCAAAATGTCTTCTAGTGTCACTATTCCCTTTACTTCTGGAAAGGACACTAGTAAATATGGCCGAAGGAGTCAGTCAGCAATTCTGTCACATAACGGTGACCCACCTAATCCTCTCTGCATGCCAGTTTTCCGCTGTGTACCGCCAGTTTTATGAGACATGGAGACCATTACGCCATCCACCTTGCCAAGCAGATGATACTTTTCTCACTTGTGAGTGCACTTACAATTACTATTAATTTGAAATATTTATTTTCAACACTTTTATTCTAGCTCTTCAAATTAGACTTTTCTTTTGAGCGACATTCGCTTAGTATTTAACTTGTAGGATTTAAACTATTAATACATTTTGTTTCCTTGGCATTAATATATTGAATATAAGTTTAACGATAATGCTTTAGTCATTTTAAGTTTTCCCTTAGGTTACAATTCATTAACATTGATCTATTAGTGGAATGAAAGTAAAATTATTAAGAATGTATGTTATATAATCTTGTATGATATCATAAACTTTTTGATTATTAGATTTGGACTCTTTTTAGTTTCAAAATTTCCTGAAAGAAGGTTTAGTTCTTAGTTAGTGAAATACTTCAAAATCATTACCTTCAAATTAAAATTAATGACTTGTGTTCTGCACTTCTACACTTAATAAACTTTGATGTGTTGCAGTATAACTCAATAAACGACTTTTTGCTTAAAATAAAATTTCCGAATTTTTTTCTTTTATTAGCGATTAATCAGGCCAATTAACACTGACTGATTCCACTATTATTTATAAAACTTGGAACATTTCTTTGCTGTAATTATTTTGTTGTATAATATTTTTCCGAAGAATAATTTCAAATTAGTAATACGAAAAAGAATTGCTCTCTGACTTTTTTCTTAATAGCACAAATAGAAATGTTAGTTAAATGAAAAAATTAAAGAATTAATAAAGACATATCTGCTAAAATTTCACTTTTTAAAAAGCTTTTGAAATTTTTTCGAAATTTAGAAATAACAGTTTTCATTTTTATTGTGTTTATTACTTAATCATTATGCTAATAATAGTTACCATTAAGAGAGTAATCATATAGTTAGTCATTTGATATCAATGTGATATATTCTTAATTTAGCAATTCTTTATCTTATTTTTCATAATTATAGTAAATTGCCTGGCGGCAAGAACAAAGACTGAATAATATGAAATTTTGCGAGAAATTTCTAATCGCTGATTATAACACATAATTTTCAGTGTTTGTGTAATTTATGCATGTAATACTTATTTAATCAAATTAATAGAATACACTTATCCATCGAAAAACTCAGACTATTTGCGCTATGAAAAAAAAAATTGATTTTAAATTCAAAACTTTAAATTATTTCTACTCATAAAATTTGGTTGTTAATGTAAAATCTTGGAGTTTAGAAATTTAGTTTTTGGCAAAAAAAATAGTAAGAGGTAATTGTAGATGATAGTTCTACAAAATATAAAATAATTGAAATCATAATTAAGGATAATAGTTGAAAGTTAGAATTGAAATCCCATACTTTAATATTTAATTATCACTTCTGAAAGATATAATAATTAAGTGTCAAAGTGAAAATGACTTGTAGTGAGTGAACCGTAGGTGATAAATTATTTGAAAGATACTTTATGATCATATGATAAAGGGAGCAGTAGAATATGGAGAGGATAAGGTAAGATTAGTAGGATAACTTTAGTTGAAATTCAAAATCTTCAATTGAAGTACTGGAAAGTTTTGTGAAATTTATGATATACATGTGATCTAATTTCAGAACAACGTTAACTCAGTGCAAAGTCATAGTGCAAATTCAACGAATTATTTTTTTTTCTTTTTGTGTTTAAAATTTTCTTTTTATTAAAATTAAAAAAAAAAAAAAAAAAAAACTAATAATAATTTAAGATAACTGGTGTTTCGTTTGATCAGTCATTACCAACAACCGATGAAGAGCGTATGCGTGTTTGGGAAGTGGGTCATCCTGATTACCTTGGAGCTGATGCTTACAGTAACATTCAAGAAGCTATCGATCATGCATTAGAATGAAAGTGGATTTCACAAGAAAAGGAAAAGCAAAATTTTTGATAACATATTTCTGTGGTCAATTTTTAGCGTTTTTAAAAATTCAAAAACTTTCAGTCCTACATCCCATTTAAAGTATAATTTTTTTCTCTCTTTTTAAAAAAAAAATTTTTTTTCTAAAAACAAGTTATTTGTTAATTATTCGAACATGGATTTAATTTCACAATGTGAATTTAGAATGTGATTGTATTTATGGGATGATAAATTGACAATTTCTCCTAGAAAAAATAATTTGAATTTCTTCAAATTCATACAATTAATTTTCAGAAAAAAAAAAGACTGCAAAATTTCTTTTTTTTTTAGAAATGATTGTTGCGTTTGTATTTGCGTTGAATGATTTTTGATATTGAAGTAAAGATGTTTATCATTGTTCTTTTCTTTTCAGGTCAACAAATTTTAAAGAATATATTCTGCTATCTTTGTTCTCACTTTTTTTTTTTCTATCACCTGTAATCTTTCCATTATCATTTAATTAATGAAACTTTACATGATTTAACTGCATCCTATTGTGCAACCAAAATTTATTTTAGCCATTTAAATGTATACAAAAAAAAAGAAAACATTGAAAATTTTTTTCTGTCTTTATTACATTCTCTCCATTGTTATTTTTATGTTTTTTCATTTTTTTTTCTTAACAATTACAAAATCTATAAAACTATGAAGCCATAAGCCTATAAAGCCATGAGGTCATAAGTTTAAGTAAAAGCAATAGGTAATGTCCCATAAGTATTGCACTATTCTGCGCAAATTATTCTTGCATGCAAAACTTGATAAACACATATATTCGTCATTACTAAATAATTGAACATTTAATAAGTACCAATAATTGTGTCAAACAAGTTTATAACACAATAAAGACGACAGATAATACCACCACTGCTTTTTTAAATTAAAACTTCAATTATTGCTGGTTGTTATGATATGCAGCATTAATGCTGCATGCATTAAATGCATTCAATATATTAATTTTGCATGACATAAATTTTATATTTAGTTAAAAAAAAAACAATTTTTTTCCTCTCTTCATTGTAAATATTGTTGAGTAGATGGTATTATTGATTTCAGATGTAATTTTTAAAAAGTTGGCACAAATTTACAAATTAATCATAATTAGTTGTAAAGTAGATAACAAAAAAATTTTGCTTGTTTATTCATAAATGATAATTATTTCATGAAATGGAACAACAACCACAACATCCTTTTCTTCTATTATTTTTCTCCTTTGACCTTGAACCTATTAAAATATTCATTTCAATTATTTGTTTATGATTGCATCTTCTTACTTTCTATACAATTAGAGAAATTCCTATAAACTTATAGGCAAATTAATATTATCTCAATTATGAGAAAGAAAACAAATTTAAACAAACTAAATCAAATAAAGTATCTCATAAGTATATCAAGGTTTAAAATAAAATTTTTTTTTTTAATTTCTTGTTTTTTCTCATTTTTGCTTAAAATGTTGAAATATTTTACTAGTCTTACAATAATTATTTCGGTAGAAATATACATAAATAATTAAAGAGTCAGAATTGAAATAAATTTATGAAAATGGATGAAAAATAGGTTTGCTACCTGTATCTAATTAGTGTTATTCACACCTGTGTGATACTAATAATTTTTTTGACTGTTTGAGTAACAATTAAAAAGCTTAAAAATTCAAAAAATTGAAAAATATTGAAAAACGATTAAAAAGCATAGAAAAACTTAAAAGATAATAAAAATAAAATAGAAAGAAATCAATGCAATAAAAATAGGAATTGTAAATTCTGCTGAAACGACAACTATAAATTATTATCATTTGGTCTCTGTCACCATAGTCTAACAACTGATAAGTTTAACACCTATTCAGGTTACTAGTGACGCTATGATGAAAATATCTTAAACAATTGTCCAATAATCTTACGTTTTAATGCTCTGATATCCGTTGGTTTTCTCCCAGCTAATTTATCTAAAAGTCTTGTAATCAGCACTAAATGTCAAAAGAGAGCAGTAAGAAACGACAAAAAAAAAAAAAATTTAAGCAGATGAATAAGTAAATAAGTAAGTTATTTCAATTTTATGCAAAATGATTTTGTAGAATTAAAATTGAGGAATTCCCATTAACCTGAATATTTGTTGTTTGTCTCCGTTGCGGGCAATATAATTGCTTTTTCTGTTTTTTCATGTCGTTGTTGTGGTGGTTTTTCTTTTTTTTGCATCACATTGTTATCTTTTTTCTGGCTGATTTCTTTCTGAAGTTTAGTTTAACTTCAAAATTTTTTAAAAAAAAAGAAAAGAAAAAAAACGCTGATCAGCAGATGTGACAAGGAAATGAACTAACTTTAATCAACCAAATTCTACAATTTAAATATCCACAAAATGATGAAAGTATAACACAATTTACTAACTTAAAAGTTATTTGTTGTATAAGTAAATGTAAGTTACTTTTCTATAGATAAGGAATATTAAAAGCTTAAAGGAAATTCTCGAGAAGCAATAATAGTATTGCAAACACTTACTTTACTGCCACTGAACGATTTACTTCTAAAAAAAAATTTGCTTTCAAATTATTTAATGTTAATATTCGAATTATGAAAAAAAAATTAGTGATTGATTATGGTAATTTTAAATTGATAATATGCAGAAATAGTTATACTCTGAAATAATAATATCATCATATCCTTTATTTTTTGTGACGTTTAGTGCTTTTGTTGCAGCTTCAATTCGAGCTATTGCTTCGATATCCATATTTACCATTTGCCGATTTCTGAAAATTTTAAATTTTATCAAAAAAATTTGATAAAACTTTAAAATTGAAAAAATTAAGTTTGTAATTTTTTTTTTAGTTAGAAAATCTACCATTTCATACATTCTCTTACAGAATGCTAAATTTTCATGACTATAATTTAAAGAATATTGCAATTCTCAAAATTAAGAAATCAAATCTTAAATTTTTTTTTCTTACTTAAAAATCCTTTCTATAAATTTAGTCAAATAATTAATACAGCTGCATCAGGTGATAATTTCTCACTATACTTTTTGCAAATCAGAAAATTCATTTAATTATTTTTATCTTAAAATTTGTGTAATACTTTTTTGCATGTGAATGTTCTTTTTAATTCTATTGTTATCGAGAGAAAATTTATCATATCAGTGCTACAGATAAGAGTTTTAACGTGCTCTACTTATTTGAAATATTTTAATTCGCACTGAAAAGCTTGACATTTAGCAAAATTAATTATCCAACTACCAACTCCGCTCTTGCGGCATTTATTGATGTCATTGTTTAAGCTAAAATGACTAAAACTTGTAGGAAAGCGCCTAGCGTTCACACTGACACTGTTAAATAATGATTATTTTTTGAACATTTTATGAATTTTTATCTAATGCAACGTGATTTACATTTATTTAATGAGCTAAATGCTAATTTTTATTAAAATAAAATCTATTTGAATTATTATTCAATGATTTTAGATGTACATTAATGCCAATGAATCTTTTAATCAAAATTAAACTTTTTGTTTGCACTTTTTGCATTAAAGTATTTAATTTAATGTTGGAGGTACTAAAAGTTTTTTATTATTATTTCTTCTTTATTACTAGTATTATCTTTCGTTATCAGTGCTATTGATTCGAGACTTTTCGTCTATTCTTATATTGTAAGAATGGATTTTTTTTTATAGTTTACCAAAAATTTTTTTCTTCATTGCCTAAAAGTAATTTCTTAGGAAAAACCTTAAAAGTTTAAATGTAATGTTATTGTAATATTTAGTTCATACTACTAATTAAATAATAAAAATAAAACAAAATTAATTGATAGAAAGTTATTTCCTCTTTTCATAATTCGTAAATATTCAAAAAATAAATTACATATAATAATCAGTAAAATTTATATCTTTCACTTTTATATTTTAAATTGATAATTTCTGTAATAAAACTTTGTTAACACTTGACCAATAAAGAAACTAATCATTTTATCATAGAAAAAGTAATCATTTTCTACACTAATATGCAATCTTTATCTTTTTATCTCTTCCATTTTCATCCGATAACTTTAAATGAATAAAATATTTATTATTTATCTTCTTTTGTAATAGCTATTGCCTCAATACATTTTTCAACCACTTATCTCTTTTAATTATTTCATTTTTATACTTTTAAGTATAAAAATAAAATAATTTGATTGAAGTCATCGATTGATTAAGAATGGCATAAATGAATTCTTCTCTCTTTATAAAACTTCAAATTTTCTGAAATGTTGTTGTACACTTTTTTCCTAAGCTAACTATTTTGAATGACATATGGAAATGATTTAAATGAAAATGAAATGATTTGAATGACATAAAACATTAATAGTTTTATAGTAATGCCTTGCAATGAATATTGACATCTGTCAGAGAAGATCAAAGAGAAATAAAGAGAGAAGATAATCCTTCAATGTTTTAACTTTTCTGAGTCGAATCGATTAAATTTCACAGGATTTTATTTTATAGGTCGCTTGTACAATCAGTCCACTGAGCAATGATGTTCTTGTGGACACAGAGAAAGAAACCTTTATTATAAGATACTAAAATATAAAATGAAATTTAATGATAATAACTATCATTCCAATCATTTTATCAACCATCTAATCAAATTTTTATTGATTTTTTAATTTAAATAAAATAGAATGAATGGAATAAAGAATTAGACGAAATGAAAATGTCTACTTCGTCAATTATATTATATAAACAATTGAATGTGATAATTATTTGCAGCGTAGATTGTGCAGGACAATAGCGCTCATGATATTTATTTCATTATTTTTTTGTGCACATTATATTTTTCATTTTTAAAATAGATAATAATGCACAAATTTTCATCATTCCACAAAAATTATTTAGTCGATAAGAGATGTAACAATTCATTCATAGTAAACAAAAAATAAAGCAAAATATACTGTACATTTGATTATTCTTTTTTTTTAATATTTAATAATCTTCGAGAAACATAGTCAAATGCGCCGTTCTAATTTAAAACACACTTAATCTTTCCCTCTTTTTTTGACATTTATTTATAAATGTTTTATTAAAATGAATAATGAAAATATTAAATGAATAATTTTGTGAATAATGATGACTGTTTATTTGTAGAAATGGGCGGTATATTCTCTTACATCTATAAAAGGAATTTGTCACCAGTTCATTCTAATCAATAAGTTTAGTCATCTCCTGTGGACGGCTATTCCGGTTTCCTCCAGTTACGAATTAGCTTTGAAGAGTGTTTTTTTTTTTTCATATTTAACCTCAAAAATTTTGACTTCAAACTTTGATTTGTTTCCTTTGCCATCTCAGCTGATTTTTAGAGAAGAAATAGCAGAGGAAGAAAAGGAGACAATTGAGTGAGTGACAAATACTGTTCTTTCTGTGATCGGTCAAATTCCGAGGGAAACAGTACATGTCTGTACAACCTCAAATACGGGCGGGGCCTATTACCGATGTTACCGCATCAGCAACCTTTCAAACTCTACGGTTCATTGGTAAGCGACAGTTGCTACCGATCATGGAGCTGCAGCGCAGTTTGTTACTTATTGATGCTGCTGTATCTCTCTTTATTGGTTTCCTATTATTTTTTACACCTTCTCTCATCGGTTATTTTATTTTTGTAAGTTTTTTTTTTTTCCTTCTAATTAATCATAAATGAATTTTTTTAAATTCAACTTCAATTTATTGTCCTAAATTTTAGGAATAATAGATATTACTCATTTCCTATAAGTGTAAACACGTCATACGTGTAATATTGACGTCATCGATTCAATGAATCATTTGCCTTTGTTCTTCAAAATTAATCAAATTTAGAAATTCTAATGATTTGCAATTTTTAATTCTCAGGAATCACTCCATGTTATAGCTGCTTCAGTAAAATCAATTATTTAGTTAAATGTTCATAATTATTGATCATCTTAAAATTTTAAAAAGTTTCGAGAATTCTGCCAATCTTCTCTCCTGAATTACTTTGATTGTTTATGCATTGGGATTGAAGAAAAATGTTAATTTAAAAATTATTAATTTAAATTATTTGAAAAATTCCAGGTAAAAGAAATAGATGGCGTCCATTGGCATTTGCTTAGATGTATCGGTTGTCAACATATTGGTGCTGGTTTTCTAATATACAAATTGAGAAATTCTTCAGTGGAAGTACTATCTGCTTGTCATATTGTTCGAATTTTGGTACCATTTTAATTCACCCATTAATAATTCATCTTCTATTGAAATATTTTGTAAACAAATTAACGAGAACTACTGAGGTGTGATGAACAATTTCCTCGAGAAATTTTCTCAAGGACAATGTACTTATTTGCTTAACTTTTTTTTTTCACAAAAGGAATTAATTAATTTAAAAATTGTAATACACACAATATTAAATATTTTGAATAAAAAAAAAAAAAAATTTTACAGTAGAAATTTTTACTTCTTATATTAGATTTTTGTTTCTGAAAAATTATGAGTTTATTAAATTTTATAGCAGATAAATAAATTGTGATAAAATTATTTTTAGGAATTAATATCAGTACTTATAGTCCTGGTACATTGTTCAGCAGAAACACCAAATTTAATTCATCCTAATATGAGTAGTTTAAATTTTTATTAAATTTAATAATGAAATGGATGATGGAATGCCAGAGAAAAAATACATTTGGAAATTAAAGTATTATTTAAAGTGATTTTCAATGAATTTAAAATTTCTGACTTTTTCTCTTTATTTAGATGCTTTAAGTTTATGATAACAATTCTAACATTTGGATATTTTTTCCTTTTTCTTTTTTTTTTTTTCATTTCGTATAATTTCTTATTTTTCAGTATCTGAAAATCGCCAAATATTGGTGCTACTGTTGGTTAGCAATGAATTTTTGCCTACAAACAGCTCATCGATGGTCACTCGGAGAAACGGTCATTACGAATGTTATGGAAAATATTCTTTTCCAGATGGATAGTCTTGTATGTGTAATTATTGGTGTTGCATGGCTTGCATTTCCTGAATGGTTATTACACCGTCAGGTATCAGATTTACTTTCAAGCTAAATTACGTACGAATCTTTTTGACAAATTTTCCGGATGAAAGATTTATTTCATGTTTGATTACATTTTATCTATTTTAATCAGATAATATTTTTTCTCCATCAATACTTTTTTTTTTGCTATGACCATTCAAATTTTTAAAAACACCTTTAAAATATTTTGTTTTCTAATCATTTCGTAAAAGATTGATTAATTTATTATTATAAATGCTATTTGAGGACCTTTTCTACTTCCTCAATCTATTTTTTTCAAAATTAGATTTAAATTGAATTTTAGTAAAAAAACTTTAACAATACTCTTAGGTTCGTATACATTTGGGTGTTTCACATGAATTCTGTGCTCGACTTATGGGTACTGACTTTTTGACCTCTTCTGTGATCAGTAGCCATGCTTTACATTGGAAAAAGCCGACAGATCGTTTAATTGCTATCGATTGTCGATCTTTGGTATAATTTCAAATTATATTATTCATTATTTAATTACTATTCTTATGTTAATTAATGGTTATCTGTTAAGTTAATCAATAACAATCATTTTTAAAATAATGCAAAAAAAAATAACGATTTATTAATTTTATCAATTTCAATGTTTTTTTAGAAAAAATTTAGCTCAGAAATCTTAAAAATCTCTTAATATTTCGTTGACAACTTAAAAGAAATAATAGGTCTAAGGCTGCCAAAAAAAAAAAAAAAAAAAAAAAAAAAAAAAAAAAAAACAGAAATATTTGCAAATCATTAATTCTTTAATTTAAGTATAAAAAATAATTATTATAAGAATATTTAATTAATTATGAAAAAAATTTTTTTTTTAATTTTTTATTTACAGATTTGTACATTAACTTTGGCTGCACAAGTATGGTCTCAGTATGCTTATTCGGATCATTGGAATGTAAGTCATTGGGTTGGCATATCATTGATCTCATCTTGGACAATTACCGCCCTGTTATTAAGATATCATTCAGCAGCGCAAATAAAACGAACAGAAGAAAAAACGAAACAACACTGATCTATTGATTGATGATCTAGATTGAAAACGGTGCAGTTCAGATCAAACGCTAATATTATCATTCATACAATAGTAACTCTGTTCAGATCATATTTTCCACTACAAACAGTGAAATTCTCATAGTATTGAATACCAAATTATTTTTGACGAAACTTTACATTTTTTTTTTTTGAATTAATTTTCATTTTCATTTTTAATTTTTAAATTTAATATTTTTCTTTTACTTACTATAGCAATCGTTGTGCAATTATTCACTGTTTTATTATAATTTGATGAAAAGTTTCAACTGGAAATGCAATTTTTTTTGCTTTCATTATGTGATATATGCAAATTTCTATTGACTAATGTAAAGTATTACTTTCAGAGGAAAATTTTGTTTGTTATAAATTTAGTGGTTGTTGGTGAATGGGTAAAGAAGATTTGCGAAAAGTTAAGCTCAAAATTGGTAATGTGGTAAAAAATCAGTGGCAGGTGCATGTTATAAATTACTCATAACTGTTAATGACACATTCTTAAGAATATCTGTTGACAAAATATTCTTCGTTGAAAATTGATTAACCATAAACTTTGACTGTGACTACTTTTGAAGTATTTTATATTATTTTGAAAATTTGGTTTGTTATAGAATATTTTGTATAGAACAGAAATAAAGCGACTTAATTTCATCATTGATCAGAAATGATGTTGGCTACTTTTAAAATACTTTTTAGTTCCTAAAATATCTTTGAAATATGAAATTTTGAAATTTAAAAAAAAAAATTTTTTTAACATGTACACAACATCGTTTCCTCCCAATATTAGGCTGCAGATATTACGCCGAATCGGAGAAGGTGGTTATGGCCTAGTTTTTCAAGTAGTTAATATGCAAAATCCAGTTCAAATGGCAGCCATGAAAACGGAACCGGTGGAATGCTTAGTGGTGATCAGATTTTGAAAATGGAAGTATATGTTTTAAAAAAGTTAGACAAATCAAGGCATGCATGCAAAATTTATGCAACGGAGTATAATGATAAATCAAATAATCCTTTGAAAGTTTTTTTTTTCTGAAATTATCTGAATAAATTTTTATTTTAAATTTATGATTTACATTTTTTATTTCTTATCAACCAATAAACAATAAATACTGAATCAGATTAATTTATTCTAATCAGACAAACATTATTTTTAATAATGAATAGAATGGAAAACAAACACAAAAATAATTCAACTGAATTTAAAGTTGTAATGCCAAAAAAAAAGATACTTTAGAGTGAAAATTATTATTTTCTAATAATGACTTTTATTATCAAAATCATTATGCGAATTATGAAAGCACTGTCCAAATCAGGTTTTCATCGAATTTTGCTATGGATCTAAGCCACAGTAATGCATATTGTATTCATGTTTGATTTTGGCTTGCTAGCCAATATTGTGTTCGGTTTTCAATTATTTTTTTAATTTTAATTTTTTAAAAATAATTTAAACAATTCTAATTTTTTATATGTCTACAATAAAAAAAATCTTATCATAATGTATTTTGTAGCATTTGTAAATACATTTGCTTATTTAATTAATTAAGCATTGTATATTTCTCTGACAGATTATCAATAATTGCATTAAAATAATCAATAATATCAAAACTATATACTTTGATGGCATTTTTTTCTATTTAATATTTCTTGACATTTTTCATTCATAAATTAGTCAATTATTGAATTTCTCAAATGTTTCTATCTTTTTCAATTTCAATTAATTTTAAGATATTTGATGAGAAAGGTAATATAAGATTACATGAACCACGTAAAACTGCAGCATTCCGTGGTATAATTCGATACTGTTCAATAGTTCATCGTCACGATGAGCAGGGACGTCATGATCATTTATGATCACTTTTATATATGACAACCGAGATGATACTTGGCAAAATGGGTTAAAAATTAAATAAATTTTTCCACTTAAATGTCTCTCTTTTAAATTTCCACTGTTAATATAATTTTTTATTTCTCTTTATTATTTCTCTTTTATTATGCTAAATAACTGAAATATAAATATAATTTTTGTTAATATAATTTTTTATTTCTCTTTATTATTGCAACTTGAAATTATCGCTGATATAATTAAACAATATCAATGATAATTTGCTATCATTACTCATTAACAATAAATATTTTAATACTAATTACAATAAATTATAAATGAAAAAAGAAATATTCAGGCGTAGCATGGATCGAACGCATGCTAAAAATCGAAAAGCGAATTCTGAACAAAAACTTATATCAAGTTTGCCTATGGAACTTCATGTTATTTAAAGCATCTTAAAAAAATAAATTACAATAACAAGCCAGGTATGCTAAATAATTGAAATGTTTTTTCGACACAGTATAAAATGACAGAATAAACTTAATTTTATTAAGAACAAAATCTAAAAAATGTCATTTTCAGACTATAATCTATTAAAGTCACTACTCAAGCAAATCCTGAAAAAAGAAAATCTGAGTTAATGAAGTATTCAAAACGTCTTCTAGTGATATTGTTATATATGTAGAGATATGATATTGTTATATCTGTAGAGAAATGGTGTGAGTTAATTAATCAAAATGTCTTCTAGTGATATTGTTATATTGGTAGAGAAATGGTATGAGTTAATGAAGTAATCAAAACGTCTTCTAGTGATATTGTAATATCTGTAGAGATATGGTATGAGTTAACGAATTAATCAAAATGTCTTCTAATGATATTGTTATATCTGTAGAGAAATAGTAAGAGTTAATGAAGTAATCAAAATATCTTCCAGTGGTCTTGTTATATTGGTAGAGAAATGGAATGAGTTAATGAAGTAATCAAAACGTCTTCTAGTGATATTGCTATATCTGTAGAGATATGATATTGTTATATCTGTAGAGAAATGGTGTGAGTTAATAAATTAAAATGTCTTCTAGTGATATTGTGATATTTGCAGAGAGGTGGCATGAATTAATCAAAATGTCTTCTAATGATATTGTTATATCTGTAGAGATATGGTATGAGTTAATGAATAAATCAAAATGTCTTCTAGTGATATTGTTATATCTGTAGAGATATGATATTGTTATATCTGTAGAGAAATGGTGTGAGTTAATGAATTAATCAAAATGTCTTCTAATGATATTGTTATATTTGCAGAGAGGTGGCATGAATTAATCAAAATGTCTTCTAATGATATTGTTATATTTGTAGAGAAATGGTGTGTGTTAATGAATTTATCAAAATGTCTTCTAATGATATTGTTATATCTGTAGAGAAATGGTGTGAGTAAATAAATTAAAATGTCTTCTAGTGATATTGTTATATTTGCAGAGAAATGGTATGAGTTAATGAAGTAATCGAAATACCTTCTAGTGATCTTGTTATATTGGTAGAGAAATGGTATGAGTTAATGAAGTAATCAAAACGTCTTCTAGTGATATTGTTATATTTGCAGAGAGGTGGCATGAATTAATCAAAATGTCTGCTAGTTATATTGCTATATCTGTAGAGAAATGGTGTGAGTTAATGAAGTAAACAATATATCTTCTAGTGATCTTGTTGTATTGGTAGAGAAATGGTATGAGTTAATGAATTAATCAAAATGTCTTCTAATGATAATGTTATATCTGTAGAGATATGATATTGTTATATCTGTAGAGAAATGGTGTGAGTTAATAAATTAAAATGTCTTCTAGTGATATTGTTATATTTGCAGAGAGGTGGCATGAATTAATCAAAATGTCTTCTAGTTATATTGCTATATCTGTCGAGAAATGGTGTGAGTTAATGAAGTAATCAAAACGTCTTCTAGTGATATTGTTATATTTGCAGAGAGGTGGCATGAATTAATCAAAATGTCTTCTAATGATATTGTTATATCTGTAGAGATTATGGTATGAGTAAATAAATTAAAATGTCTTCTAGTTATATTGTTATATCTGTAGAGAAATGGTGTGAGTTAATGAATTAATCAAAATGTCTTCTAGTGATATTGTTATATCAGTAGAGAAATGGTATGAGTTAATGAATTAATCAAAAGGTCTTCTAGTGATGTTGTTATATCTGTAGAGATATGATATTGTTATATCTGTAGAGAAATGGTGTGAGTTAATAAATTAAAATGTCTTCTAGTGATATTGTTATATTTGCAGAGAGGTGGCATGAATTAATCAAAATGTCTTCTAATGATATTGTTATATCTGTAGGGAAATGGCGTGAGTTAATGAATTAATCAAAATGTCGTCAAGTGATATTGTTATATCTGTAGAGAATTGGTATGAGTTAGTGAATTAAAATGTCTTCTAGTGATATTGTTATATTTGCAGAGAAATGGTATGAGTTAATGAAGTAATCGAAATACCTCTTCTAGTGATATTGTTATATCAGTAGAGATATGGTATGAGTTAATGAATTAATCAAAATGTCTTCTAATAATATTGTTATATCTGTAGATAAATGGTGTGAGTTAATGAAGTAACCAAATGTCTTCTAATGATAATGTTATATCTGTAGAGATATGATATTGTTATATCTGTAGAGAAATGGTGTGAGTTAATAAATTAAAATGTCTTCTAGTGATATTGTTATATTTGCAGAGAGGTGGCATGAATTAATCAAAATGTCTTCTTATGATATTGTTGTATCTGTAGAGATATGATATGAGTTAATGAATTAATCAAAATTTCTTCTAATGATATTGTTATATCTGTAGAGATATGATATTCTTATATTTGCAGAGAAATGGTATGAGTTAATGAAGTAATCAAAACGTCTTCTAGTGATATTGTTATATCTGTAGAGATATGATATTGTTATATCTGTAGAGAAATGGTATGAGTTAATGAAGTATTCAAAACGTCTTCTAGTGATATTGTTATATCAGTAGAGAAATGGTGTGAGTTAGTAAATTAAAATGTCTTCAAGTGATATTGTTATATTTGCAGAGAAATGGTATGAATTAATGAATTAATCAAAATGTCTTCTAATGATATTGTTATATCTGTAGAGAAATGGTATGAGTTAATGAATTAATCAAAATGTCTTCTAGTGATGTTGTTATATCTGTAGAGATATGATATTGTTATATCTGTAGAGAAATGGTGTGAGTTAATAAATTAAAATGTCTTCTTGTGATATTGTTATATTTGCAGAGAGGTGGCATGAATTAATCAAAATGCCTTCTAGTTATATTGTTATATCAGTTGAGATATGGTATGAGTTAATGAATTAGTCAAAATGTCTTCTAATGATATTGTTATATCTGTAGAGAAATGGTGTGAGTTAATAAATTAAAATGTCTTCTAGTGATATTGTTATATTTGCAGAGAAATGGTATGAGTTAATGAAGTAATCAAAACGTCTTCTAGTGATATTGTTATATCTGTAGAGAAATGGTATGAGTTAATGAAGTAATCAAAACGTCTTCTAGTGATATTGTTATATATGCAGAGAGGTGGCATGAATTAATCAAAATGTCTGCTAGTTATATTGCTATATCTGTAGTGAAATGGTGTGAGTTAATGATGTAAGCAATATATCTTCTAGTGATCATGTTGTATTGGTAGAGAAATGGTATGAGTTAATGAATTAATCAAAATGTCTTCTAATGATAATGTTATATCTGTAGAGATATGATATTGTTATATCTGTAGAGAAATGGTGTGAGTTAATAAATTAAAATGTCTTCTAGTGATATTGTTATATTTGCAGAGAGGTGGCATGAATTAATGAAAATGTCTTCTAGTTATATTGCTATATCTGTAGAGAAATGGTGTGAGTTAATAAATTAAAATGTCTTCTAGTGATATTGTTATATTTGCAGAGAGGTGGCATGAATTAATCAAAATGTCTTCTAATGATATTGTTATATCTGTAGGGAAATGGCGTGAGTTAATGAATTAATCAAAATGTCTTCTAATGATATTGTTATATCTGTAGAGAAATGGTATGAGTTAATGAATTAATCAAAATATCTTCTTGTGATATTGCTATATTTGCTGAAAAGTGACATGAATTAATCAAAATGTCTTCTAGTGATATTGTTATACTAGCAGAGAAGTGGCATGAATTAATCAAAATGTCTTCTAGT